TTGAATTTGTTAATATTTCATTTGAATTTTATGTTATTAATTTTTAAATAAAAATAAATTTTATATATTCAGATGTTAAAAATTAAACAGTTTTAATTATTTTTATTCTATGTTAATATAGCCTATTCAGATTAAGATATCTTAATCTTAATCTTAATACACATTCAGATGTGTTTTAGGGAGTCTCTTCATCTGCTTCTATTTCACCGATTATATCGCTCCATTCTGTTGAATTTTAACTCTAGGGTTAGGGTTTATAATTCTTATCGTAATCCTATAGATATATACTAGTTTTGTGTATAAACGTTTGTGCGGCTTACCCCGAACGCTGGCTCTACCGCCATGGAGTCTTCTATCGTGATCAAGGTTTGATGTTTTAGGCTATTCATTTGTTTTGGTTTAATGAACTTTTACTGTTCCTGCATGTATTTTTCGTATGTGATCAATTTTTCTTATTTTTCTATGTTGAGATGTGGTAATACCAAAATTAAGCAATTGTTTTGCAGTGTAAAAATATTCCTTTTACTGCATGATGTAGAAAATATTAGAGGTTTCAATGCGGTGATCGTTAAGCTGTAAATAAATGCTTTAGAGGGTTCTGGTTTGTGGATTTTCTTTTTTTCCTTCCCGTTGACGATTTGATATTCACATATGATTTAAGCACTAATTATTAGGTTATTTTTCACTTTACGGATTAGGAGTTTGAGACTCGTGAGCTGATCCTACTAGTTTTGAATTGCGAAGTAGTCGATTAATTTATTGTTAAAATTGCTCTCATATGTTTTTTTTGCCGGATATTCTAGCTTTTCCTATTTGAGACTCTTATATGTTCTTATTATATCTAGCCTGAGATGCTCTTATATGCCTTCTAGGATCTTTTAGCCCTATAGAGATTCTTATGCCAGTAGAAAATATAGATTTCATTTTTATTTTTATTTTGTAAAATGTTGGCTTGAGTGAACATGGTATATGAAGATTCATATAGCTGACCCCAACTTGTTTCGGACAGAGGCGTACTTGTTGTTATACTCTAGCTTTTCCTATGATCCTTGTGACCTTCAGGGTATTCCACATGCTATGCAATCTTGTCTATGTATAAACACTTGTATGAATATATGTCGGGTTCTGTTTCCATGATAACATTAGACTCCTTGACATTGGTTTAACTCTTGAAACAAATGTCTTTTGAGGAGGAGAGCTAGCAGAGGTTCTGTTTGTGCTTTTTTGGTTAATTTTCTTATGTTCCATTGATTATGTTTCGACTCATTTACTGTAGCCTCCTACGGATGATTTTTGGTCGGTACTAATGGGTTTCTGCTGGCTCTGGATACATTATAGGTGAATTATGGAAAGACACTTAGACGATTCAATGCCCGTGTTGCTGATGATAAACTTGGTCTTAACATGGATGGATTGAGAGACAAGATCTTTCAACTTTTCAACTTTGCTCCAAATACTAAACTCACACTGACATACATTGATGAGGACGGTGATGTTGTAACACTCGTTGATGATGAAGATCTGCAGGATATCACGAGGCAGAACCTGAATCCCCTGCGAATATCTGTGAGATTGAATGCTAAAAAGATTATCAGATCTTCAGATGCATCTAGTGGAAATTCTACCTCCCTGAGATCCCCAGTGGTCCAGCCTACATTTCCGAACATAAATTCGAGTGTTTCTGATCTTCTCAAATCTTTGCCAGAATCAAAAAGCGGAAAAATCTTAAAGCACTCTGCAGACATGGCTGCTAAAGCCTCATCAGCTGCCCAAGAAATTGCTGAGCTTTCCAAATCTCTCTCGGCGATCGGCTTATCCTACTTAAAGCAGGCTTCGGGATCTCAGCCTGCCTCAGAAACTGGCTCACAGGGTCCAGCATCTGGAATCAATACGGGTGTGACAGTGACAAAAGACTTAATTGGCTGTGTCGTAGATGAAACAACCTCACAAGCATTTACTAGTGTTAAAAGTGGAGAGTCGTCCCTCAAAAAGGAAGAGCCATCCCCTGCAGAGAATGCTGAGGACGCAATCTTTAAATTTGCAAGCCAACCCAAAAATCATACTGAATCTACAGATGCCTCAAAACTGAGATCTTCCCAACCAGATCGGAGTGAAACTCAATGTGAATCGTTATCCAAAGATCCTAAGCCTAACACATGTCTGGTTGATGTTAAGAAGGAACAAAGTAAGAAATTTGGTGATTCCCATCTTGTCGGAAAGGCTCTTGGTATTTCGTATTCTAGTTCCTCACCCTCGGGCCTAGAAAAGGCAGCTGATAAACAGCCAGGTGGCTCTGCAAGTTCCAATTTTGCAAAAATACTCTGGGACTCTCGTAGTTTGGGTTGCAATGGTAGTTCATCCGATATGCTTTCAAATTGTTTTAGATCTCCAAGTTCATATCTCATGACTGGGGTGCCTTTGGCAAAAGACACTGTGCTGCCTCAATACTCTCCTTTTGAGATACCATTTAAAAGGAACCATAATCACAGTGATGGGGCAGCAACAACTTTTCATAGAGGTGTTCGTTGTGATGGTTGTGGGGTTCATCCTATAACTGGCCCTAGGTTCAAATCTAAAGTGTAAGATGTGTAACTTTGTATTTGTACTATTTAACTTGTCGACATTAACTGACTCATCAAATCTTCCGTGTTCATGCAGAAAGGAGGACTATGATCTCTGCAGCATATGCTTTGCACAAATGGGAAATGATGTTGATTACATCAGAATGGATCGTCCTGTTACTTACCAGCATCCCTTAGCTTTCAAGGGTTTATATGATCCTGTATAAGGAGTTCATCATTTTTTTCTTTCTTCCAATTTTCTATGTGTATTCTCTCTCTCTCTGTTTTATCAACTCTGTCTACTCTTTTTCTGTCTGTAGAATGGGTGGATGCGCTCCCCTACCGTTCCACAAGTATCTCAAGGCTGTGGGTTGAAATCGGGTCGACCTAAGCTGGACAGCTGCTTCATAGAGGATGTCAGTGTACTTGATGGCAGTATCATGGCTCCTTCGTCTCCATTTATCAAGATCTGGAGAATGAGGAACAATGGTAATATTGTCTGGCCAAAAGGAACAAAACTTGTTTGGATTGGGGGAGATAGATTATGTGATGCATGCTCTGTTGACTTACAGGTTAGAATTTACACGCAAGTATTTGCTTTTTGTGATTCCCCATTGTTGACCATCCACATTCTTGTCCTGTTAACAGTTTATTAATTTATATATCTGGAAAGATGTGAGGATACTGTGTCCCTTGAACTGCAGATTACTTCGGATGGCTTGGCGGTTAACCAGGAGCTTGATGTGGCAGTTATTTTTACTGCTCCTGAGCTTCCTGGTAAGTACATCTCCTACTGGAGGATGGCCTCACCTTCAGGGCAAAACTTTGGTCAGCGTGTATGGGTGCTTATCCAGGTGAGAATTGTTTGCTTGCAACACTATTCCTTGATGATAAGAGTTAGCTTCTATGCTGATTTTGAATGGTTATAATTCATTCATGCAGGTTGATCCCTCGGTGAACCTTCCAAAAAAGGAGTTGTTTGATGAATCCTCTCAGTACTTGAACTTGAATTTCCCTCCGGCCAGCAGTGGCGTAGATGGACCTGAACTCTCAAACCCAACCATGGGGTTGGTTGAGCCAGTGGTTGCTGGAAACCCAATTAAGGAGCAGGAGGAATCCAAGCCAAGCATTAATGATAGCTTGTTAACTGTTGTTGGTGACAAGTCGAGCGTCTCTCCTTCAGCACCTGGTTCATCAATTTCAAATCCCATTGATTTATCTGAGGAAGCACCAGCTGTTACTTCTGCTACACCACCCTCTGTTACTGAGATGCAGGCATCTTCACAGGATGTTAGAAGAAACAGTGACGTTGAGGCGACCCTCCTCAAGGAACTGGAGGAGATGGGTTTCAAACAGGTAGACTTAAACAAAGAAATCTTGAGGATGAACGAGTATGACTTGGAACAGGCAGTTGATGATCTTTGCGGTGTTGCCGACTGGGATCCTATCCTTGAAGAGCTGGAGGAGATGGTAGGTTAATGTAGAGGTCATTGAAAATGCAGTTGACATTGAAATCTGTACATTCCTTTTCCACATATCCTGCTTAAAAGCAAGGACCAACTTCTGGCTTTTGACTATGTATTTTGTGAATGCAGGGTTTCCACAACCAAGAGATGAACAGGAAGCTACTTAAGAAGAATAATGGAAGTATCAAGCGTGTTGTGATGGATCTTATTGCTGGAGAAAATTAGGAGCAAGTCGGCACTACATGTGCAATATGTGATGCTTACAATAGACTGTTATAAATAAATTGGAAGTGGGGTGTTCATCAGTCGGTTTGTACAACTTTGAAAGATTTTGGTTTGGTATTTTCGATTTTCAGTTTTAAAAATGTTATACCAATACATTTGAGACTCACTTTTAGGTTTCGATTTGTGCAGTCCCGTAACTTTGGTTTTACTCTTTGAAGTTATACTCTATCAACCAGATTGTTAGTCCTGATTCATAAAGCTATATTACTCATTTCTATCTTGCAACATCCTCTATTACCTCCTCACTTTAAAAACATACAAACAAATAATACCTTCTCCCTTTAGTATGACTACAGTCGAGAAGTTTTATTTTTGTGTCTCATACAACTAGAGAGGCTCCTTTTCGTCTCACGGTTTTGTGGATCCAAATTTCTGTGGACCCAAATTGGGGTCCACAAATTTGTGAGACGCCTCATACAACTTCTCTTCCATCTTGAGTTGTAGTACAATCACTGTTAGTAGCTTGACTGTTTATCTGTGGAGAAGTGAATGCCTTGATATACTAAATCCATATGACCACTATTTCTCTTCCGTCGATTATCTTTAAAACATTGTTGACATGGGATTTGCAACAAAAAATTAAATTTCTGAGACGTGAAAACCAGAGGTGGTGAAAGACAGATGTCATGTCTAGTTACAGAAATGAATCTACATATTATGCGGAAAGCTACAGTCATGAGAACGTGTTTTAAAAAAAGAATAGACCCTTATCTTTTGGTAGTTCAGCTTCATTAAATCTCCTCGATGACATGTTGAACAAGTCTCTTAAGCTTTTTTCACTCTCATGCTTCTTACCAATATTCCAGTTTAGCTCATCCAATGCAGAAAGTGGATGGTCTAGCATTAGCTCCATCTCTAACATTTTGGATACATTTACAAGCTCATAAGAATCCCAAAGGGATTGCTTAAAATCCCAGCTACCTGCACCATAAATTTTCCTGGTAGACACTTTGCTCATAGCTTCAAGCTTGAATCTTGATGGCTTGCTCTTGAAATTACGGCAGTGAGGGTGGAATTCGACAGCTGTCCTACGGCTGCTGGAGTGACCATGCCATGCTTGTGCCACAGCCTTGAGGATTTCAAGGTCTTGAATTTCCTGCTTTTGCTTCATTGTCCGTGTTAAGTCAGTATTGTATGGGCCATGCTTTTATTACAAGCCTCATGTTGAGGATCTTAGACACTTAGCTTGAGTTCGTAAAGACCAAATCCGATTAAAAATAGGAGTAGGTAGTTTTTTCAAGAAGTTGGAAATTCTTATACCAAGTAAAGCTAGATGTAGAGAAAAAAGCCCTTTCAAACCATTATTTAGTTTAAATAGAGAAATAGAGAGGTAAAGCTTGAGCTGATATGTAAAACTTGGGAGATACAATGTGCATAAGCCTCATTTCTGGTCCTTCTAGTTGGTGTTTTCCATTACGTTTTGTCAATTTTCAATATATGCACAGTACAAAATTGTCCACAGGGACCTGACCCTTTTAGACTATGAGGATAGCAATTATCCTCTCATTTTTAGACTAAGATAAGAGGATACAAATAGTACAAAATTGAACACAGGCAAATGATATATCACCTTTTCTATTTTTTTGGAACGAGAACGTATGTGATTTTGTTTCATCATGATTGGCCACAATACAACAGATTACAGGACCCCCACTCCTTCCCCAACCTTGAGGGCACAAAAAGTAAGAAAATGAGTGGTGTGTCTGGCTATATGGACGAAGAGCTGGTAAATAGACGGGTTGAATAAAATTTGAACGGATTAAAACAGATCTAATTAATTAACATATAACGTCAACCCGTCCAATATGATCCAATATCCCTTCTTTCTCTTAAAATTACATAAATATCAATTCTAAATTTATGTTTTTGTACATTTGGATGTGTGTTGTATTGTGACGTTCGAGTTACATTACCGATCCGTTCTCGTTAGATCAAATCAACAAATAAAATGTATACCAACTCGTTCAAACTTGAGCTGAGTGGGCGGTTACTTGAAAAGTGAGCTACTTTTGTCACCCTGCTTGGGTGTGCTATGGGCCTCTGCACCGTCCTAGGCTATAAAGCAATATTTCTCCGACCTTTTATATCAGACTCATGCCTTTATTAGTAGTTCATTTGCCTTCTTTTATTATCCAACAAGTCCGAAGTGACGGTGCACCGTACGACTTCTTTTTTCATATTGTTCGATTATAGGTTTGCCAATGGAAAATTTTGATTTTGTAGTTTATTATAAATATTATTTTAGTTAATCCTTTTCATAAGAGTTATTATAAAATTATTCTTTCTTATATTGTAAGTGGACACATGAAACCATTTCTTCTTTATCATCCTCTGAGTTGAATAGAATTCTCTTAAGTCGAAGCAGAGGCGGATCCAGAATTTGAAGTTTATGGGTTCATATCGCAATCTCAAATTAATATACCATAATAACTGGATTCATCGCTAGATATTTATAGATATTTAGCAAAATTTTAATAAAAATATAGGGTCTACGCAAAAGTTACTGGATTCCCAAGAACCCATACACTACACTCATACGCCCCTGAGTCGAAGCCCCACGAACACATGAAATAGCATCTCCTACAAAGCGACGATATCGCCAAAATCAGAAGCATTTTGTCATTTCCATCAATATTCATGCTTACTTATTTTGTACTAGTATATCTTCTTTTTACCCAAAACACCAATTCTATTTTCGAAAGATGTTCGAAACTTGAAATTATCTCTTGAGTAATTTGAATTGCAAAAGAACTACTACTAATATTTTCCTGAAAACAATTATTTGGTACATTAATGAGTTGCTCTGGAAAAGAACCCATAAAACTACTTACAAAAGACAATGTTGGGCGACCGACTGTTCGGTGATAGTGATAGTCCCTCCTCTCCTCCCTTCAACAATATTTTATAGATTTTGTTTGCTCTAAACAAAATTCTTTTAAAGCTATTTGACCAAAAAGTCTAAATCTTCTGTTAAATTAATTAATTTTGTGTAATAATGGATTAAACCTAATCAATGATAATATTTCTAGATTTAGAACTAATTAATACGAGTAACGTAAGATAGTGTTGGGTGGGAAATTAAATACAGTGTGCATTAAATATTCCAAGAGATTTGAGTAATGATAGAAAAATATCAAGCAATAAATAATCGTAAATGCCATTAATCAAAATAAGGAGAATGATTCACGTGGATGATTCTTCTTTCTGACAATGATGAGTGAGAGACAAATCCTAAAATAATGGAACTATCTCGGATATGTTGGAAAAGTATGAAATAACGAATGGTAGAATCTTAGTAAAAGGTAGTGTTTGTATCTTTTATAGCGAGAGAACCTTCTTCTCAAAAAGTGTTCTTATCAAATGAATATTACATGCCCTCTCCTCTTATCTCTTTTTCTATTTATATGGGATATATCCCCGGTCAATCCTAAAAGTACAAGTACAAAGAATATTCAATGGAATATTCTCTTAAATATCTTATTACAAAAACTAGCAGTTATTGCTCTTTTCTTGATACTTGACCTCGATCGTTATTGACCGCCTGACTATGAGCCCCATTGTTTACTAGTCGCCTCGGCCACATCATTTTCCATAACACCACTTCATGCTAAATTTCATTGGGACAGATTTTGACCTATACAGTTAGTCCCTCCACTTATTGAGGTCAACCCTGGACAACCTCGATCAGCGGACTCTGTTAGTTAGGGTGGAGAGGTTTAGGCGAGCAGCTCGAGTAGTAGTGTTTTAGACGAGGTGGCAACGTGGCCTTCCTTGAGCCGAAACCTATGGTCACGTTGATTTAGAGTGATGTCATGTCATCATGCATCATTATTACGTACTTTTTCGATACCTTGCATCGTTTCCCGTATCTTTGCAGCTTCGATTCCTGAGCCGGTAACGACGGTTGGCTTTTTCGATATTGATGTCTGAATTCTTATAAATAGGGATAAAAATCTTTTGCCTTATTCTTTGCAATCTAAATATTGGATTCCCATACCTTCTTATTCCTTCTTCATTCAGAATCCTCGCCCTCTTGATCTTACTTCCGTATTTTTGCTTTCACTGATTCTAGTGACTTCTGCTACTTTTGACTCTTCTGTGTTTACATCTCCTTTATTCATAAACAAAGATGGTTAATGTGTCTTCTAGTTCGGGGGGAGGGGGTACCTGACCCTCTTCCCTTGGCAGTGCGCATACCTTCCCATGATGATGGGGTTGCCATTGTTGTTGAGAATGATAGCTTTCCTACGGTGGAGGAAATAATCCCACGTAGTGAGAAGGCTAGATCTGACTTTTCAAAGATGCTCGAGGACAACCCTGAGATCTCAGAGTCATTGATGAAAGAGGTGGGCCTTGTAGAATTTAGGGATAAATTCAAATTTTCTTCCCATATAGACCTAGTTCCAGCTGGGTGTGACGTGGTGCAAATACACTGCCCTGGGTACTACGTTTTCTATGCGTTACCCTTCCATGTCGGTTATTATTTTCCTATCCTCCCTTTGGCCGAAGAGTTCTGCCGCTATTACCGTATCTGCCCTGGCCCAACTTTCTCCATATATCTATAAACTCATCCGACTGATCTTGAAGTATGCAGAGTTAGTCGGGGTTGAGATGACCATTCGCCACCTGATGCACCTCTCCGCCCCTAACTTTCACAGAGGGACAATGCTACATGTCGCCACCGGGGCAGCAAATGTCTAGTGGTAAAAATGGACGACAAGTCAAATCGCCAGTTTTGATTCAATTACTTCTATGTCAAAACTGAGGACGTGGTGGTCAATGCAAGCGGGTTCCCCGAGGTTTGGAGCTATGCCCGTAAGAATCTATTCCCTTTTCTCTCTTTCTTTTTGTATTATACGTCGGTTCTAGTAATTTCAATTGTATTGACATTTTGTCTTATTTCCGTGTAGCCGAGACCGCACCCCTTCCTTTGGTCGAAGATATTCACTATTGGGTTAGCCGGGTCCTTCCCCATACAGCGGGGATTTGCGAATGCTGGCCTTCCTCAAGAAGTTCGGGCCTGCGCCTTCTGTGACCGGTGAGTTTTGTCATGCCTCGAACCTGGGGGGCGAGACTGGCACCTGGTGCATCACCTATCCTTGCGTACCAACTTCCGACTAAGGAATTCTGAAGATGTTATGTCATACTTTGGCCATGGGCCACATTGCAAGACAACTGCGAATGCTAACTAAATAATAATATAAAGTTGGGCCGACAAGGCCGTCATAACTACTACAGCTAACAAACCAACCAAATATACCTACAAGGCCTGCAAACCCAACATACTGCACTAACTGACAGGATATGTCTACAAGCCTCTACTGATGGATATACTGTGATTGGAACAGCTTCCTGACCTACTCATAATATATATATACATATATATACAAGATGTACATAAGGTTTTAGACCTGACAACTCCGAAAGGCATAGAGCTTACCGATCAAGCTGAACTCGGGCAACACTTAATGGGGGGTCTACCCGTTTGTCTGTCTGAACCTGCACGCAGGAAATGCAGCACCCTCAAAAAAGAGACATCAGTACGAAATAATGTACCGAGTATGTACGGCAATATACTGAAAGCTGAAAGTGAGCTGATAATTTAATAAGTGAAAGCATCTGGAAGTCAAAGATAATCTGAAGATATTCTTACCTGCTGATACTGACTCAACTCTCTCAATATAGTGAGTAAAATAACTATCTGACCCTATAAGGCTCAGTATATATATAACTGCTTTGCCGTAGTAGGATCACTCATAGGTGCTCGGCCATACTAGGCTATGTATCTCTACCAACTGGTCTCGCTCATAAGCGTTCGTCCACAGTAGGCTCGGTATATATATAATTGCTCTACTGTAGTAGGCTCGCTCATAGGCGCTCGGCCATACTAGTCTCTATATCTCGACCAACTGGGCTCGCTCATAGGCGCTCGGCCACAGTAGGCTCGGTATATAACTTACCATCTGAGCAAAGGTTGCCCAATAGGGGCCTTCCCATCGATTATAGCTCGATGGTAATGAAAATACTTTAATACTATATATACAAACTTTCTTCTCTCTTGACTGGAAGAAGGAAATACTTAATTGAATATGAAGTCCTGAGAAGGAAAAT